GTTTTACCGGGAAGAATTAGAACATTACACGACTACGTCTTGAAATACGGTCATAAAAATTTATTCAGCAGACTTTGTACTCACGCTTGATGCTTCTATTTAAACGTCTTATCCGTCTCTCCAAAGTCGTTACTGTATCCCCATCCAATACATTAAACTTCAACGAAAATAGACCAGAGGAAACATCGACATTACGAAATGTGATATCGACACCACTCTAAAATTGAGCCGTATTGAAACACCACCCATAAACACTACATACGAAATCAAAAGCATACAGCAAAAAATACATATAAATAGTCATGCGACAACCTTGTCACAAAAAAAACAACTAAAACAATGATGTGCCTAGATGATTAATTCACTTGCCCTTTGACTCATGTACATTATTACTGGTCGACCTGGATATGTCATTTCCACTAAATTTTTTTCTACTCCCGGCTCAGTTACATCTCTGACGGTCACTTTTTCCAGTTCCAATGTTGACAAAATGTAGTCCATATTCTGCAAAAGAAATATAACAGCTTCCAGCTTTAGAACGAATGAGCAACAGAACGACGCGAAGTCATCAACTTCTACAACTCTTTCACACTCATTATGAATCAAAAAAGAGCCAAAAATAATGGAATGGGGTCAACAAATTTGCGGCTCGGAACGCAACTCATTGTTTGCTAATTTAATCTATTCGAAACAAACTTGACTAAAGGGCCATAAGTTTAAACCCCTTTATCAAGAGATTCTTTGAAATATTATGCGTTTGCCAATGCCTAAATAAACATAACAAATACATCTGCTATACAGAAAACTAATGTGCCTATCTGCCGAATGTACTAAGGAGGTCCATATAGCCTTAGAAGTCTCACTATTCTTCTCGAGACAAAAAGAAAAAAAAACATTCCTCTCAAGTCAATTTTAAAAGTAGAAAGACTTCCATATTTCTACACTACATTTCTCTGATGTTTCGGGATTGGAAGAGCCTTAGCAAGAAATAAATTTGCTTATTTTGATGGAGATAAAAAAAAACTAACAGCTCCTCTTTGTGTAAAGAAAAAGTGATAACGGCAGCAATCCTTCAACATTTGCGAAGAAAAGTAAAAGATCTCATACGATTTAATAATTACAGTTTACCCATAACTCTTAAGCTCAACATTATAAAACTAAGTCCAGTCCAGAAGATAACAAGAGAGGTAACAAACTCTTTATGATAACCTTAGAGCCAACTGTGTCTCTATATGAAAGAATGACAACAAAAGAAGAGCGACCGAATATGACAAAAGCGGGTGACTGTATGCGCACCAGTCGAGAGAAAATTCGTGAAGCTATGCCAGACCACCTGGTTTTTTCCAAAGGGAGATTTGTGCCTCAGCTACTGCGGCCTGACATCTATTCTGAGAAGCGTATTCACAGCTTCTTGATGATTTATGAAACTCTTTACCACTACTGTTGTTAGAAAAATACCAACTTTTTTAAACGCCAAAGCAAGATCCCAGCCAACAGAAATAGAAATTATTAAAAAAAATCCACTTTTTAAACTGCAATTAATTCATTTGTTACGAAACTTACAGTGACAAT